AGGTGGGGTCCGGCTGGCGTCCTCCGCTCTGGGAGCTGATCTTTTAAGACCCGCAACACTAGGCTACATTGTAGCGATCGTATGGTCTGCCCAGGTTTTTTAAACTAAAAGTATTAAAAATATATATATTATAGCCTATATTATGTACGTTACATATCAAATTAAATTAAATATTAAAAACTCTGCTGGAGTTCGGTCATCCACACCAAAGCTGTTGAGATTTCCGTGCAGGCGCATTTCTTCTGAAGCTCTTTAATCCTACATTTCAGGCTGCCAAACAACACAATGTTATTCCTCTTTACCAGGGTGATACCAGAACTTTACACTCTGATATGTCTGTCCAACACACAGAATATTCAGTATTCAGGATTTGTGCATTGGACGTAGGCCGTGCAGTACCTCCTTTCTTCCTGTAGGGATCATTCAGAGGCAGATCGTAAACGGTTCCTGGGCCGAAGAACTCGTAGAAACGTTTGGTCAAATCTTCAGCGTCCACATCTGCAAACACAACACACACCGTCATCTCTGTACAACTCTAACCAAACTGGTTAGCTTAGCTTAGCATAAAGAACTCTGTCCGTCTGTTGATACCTCCACAGGCGCTCAGAGACTGGAGCAGGACAAATGCCTGGTCTCCGTAACACGTCTGCTCGCCCGTCGTCCGACAGTAAAAAGGATTTGCCGACTGAGGACGAAACTCAGGACTCGGCTCCAGATCAAACAGAACCTCTTTGAGAAGACCCGGATCATAGATCCAGTGCATGGGCTGGGCTGAGAGGGAGGGACACACACACACACACACACACACACACACACACACACACACACACGCACACACACACGCACACACACACGCACAGACACACGCACACACAGACACGCACACACAGACACACACACACACACACACAAACACACACACACACACACACACACACACACACAGACACACACACACACACACACACACACACACACACACAGACACACACACACACACACACACACACACACACACACACACACACACACACTCACACACACACACACACACACACACACACACACACACACACACACACACACACACACACACACACACACAGAGGAAAGAGGGATAAAATAACAGTTGATGTGTAGTGAGTGAAATCAAACACAGATCTGCAAGACGAGGTTGATAACAAACAACTTCAGACTGAACTCACATGGAAGAGTCAGTTTATTTCATTATTTAATGATGTATTTTAGAATAAAGTAAATCTTTATGAGTACAGCTTCTTCTGCTTCCTTGTTTTTCTGCCACCACACTGCACGCTGCTGTGACATCATCGTGACGTCTGGTGGACAGACTCCAGTTAAAGAAACATCCTTTGAACTTTATCAGCGCGTGCAGATGTTTCTCCTGGAGACTGATAACGACTCTGTGCAGGTCGGCAGAAAGAAACACTTTAAGAGCAACCTTTAAAGATAAACCGACATATTGTGATATCAGAGCGCAGTGAGACACGTGTAAGTCGAATCAAAGGGCGAGGGACAAACTCATACTTATCATTTTAAAATAAAAAATAAAATAAAAGCTCAATAAGAGCTCCAGACACGCAGTAAGAACACGACTCATGTTGGTTTGGTAACTGTGTTTATCTCACCTGCTGCATCTGCAACTGTGGCCCCGATAATGGCCCCGATGGCTCGGTCTGCCACCGTCATCGACATCTGCCGTCAGAAGAAACGAGAAATAATGAGAGCAGGAAACATGGCTTTAAAAAAATATGAGATTATCGTTATAGGGAAAAGGAACATCTTCAGTACCTGAATGCAGCGTCAGTGACTGTTTGAAGGTTTTCTAATCTGACTTCTCTTTTGTCTTTGACACACTCACCATGTGGATTCTCCTGCAGGACACAAACATGGTATTCTGTCATCTATTTTCTCGTCTTTGGACTTTTAAAACATTATTCTCTTTGTCAGTAACAGACTCGTCTCCTTACCTCGAGGCTCGCCGTCTCTGTCCAGCCGATCGCTGTCAGTGTGGTCAAAGCGTTAACGTCTGTTTTTAGTGTGGAGGGGAGGAAGCATCAGCTCAGAGAGATAAGGACACACACACCAATGAAAACCAACACACACACACACACACCAATGAAAACCCAACACACACACACACACACCAATGAAAACCCAACACTCACACACACACACCAATGAAAACCCAACACACACACACACACACACTCACCAATGAAAACCCAACACACACACACACACACACACTCACCAATGAAAACCCAACACACACACACACACACCAATGAAAACCCAACACACACTCACACACCAATGAAAACCCAGCACACACACACACACACACACACACACACACCTACTGAGCAGGAGGTCCTAACAGGAAGCAGCATGGAGAGAAGGGACCGTCTTACTGTCAATAAGTAGCACCCTCTGTCTGTTATAGGAATATCTCAGGCTGTGGGGGAGGGGCCTAATGTGAGGTCTGTTGACCGGGGCCCGGATAAATCCTGGAGACAGCCCGGTCACCGAGCAATGCTCTCCAGCCATGAGGACTCTCTGTGTGAGCCTCCGTTTGAACTTGAAGTTAGTGCTTTGTGTCCATGTTTAAACTCTGCTGCTGCCCCGGAGAACACAAACTATTTGGTGAAACATCTCTCTCCGCCTGTCCTTTTCATATAGTCATATGCTATCTGTCTATATCTCCTCCTCTCTGTTGCCTCCGCCCGCTGCTGATCCCTGTTCTGTTCCAACTCTGATGAAACCCTGCCAGGCCCTGCGAGACTCCACTTATCCCTGGCCTCTGACGGGTTTCCCAGGCAAACCATCCATCGATATTTCCCCTGACTACCTGAACCAGCTGAACAGAGAGCCGGGTCAGACAGTCGATAGCAGTCAGAAAACATTGAATGAAAGCTGAAACGCTTTAGTGTTAGGGTTAGGGTTATAATAATCTTAATATAACGGCCTCCACGGAGCGCATAGAGAGCTGCACACACAGATCAGACTCTGCCACCAGATCACGTGACACAACGAGAAGCTGCAGCTCTGTGAAACTCAGCCTGCAGAGTTACAGGAACATATTGACCGACTGCAGACAATGTGACGGAGAGCGGATGTTCGGGGGGGGCTTTGATCACCCAGCGGGATGGTGTGGAATGGACTGTATGTAAATCTGATATGTGACGCTCAAACGTGCAGAGTAACACTCTGTAAAAGGGAGGTATAATGACCCTGCTTTGAGCTAATGTTAGCATGCTAACTCTCTGAATAAAGATGTTGTAATGATGAGATTCACTTCCTTTCTTCATGCCGCCTCTCATAGACTGGATGAACATTAGATCTCTTTATTAGGGGGATGAAGCACTTTAATTATGAGCTCTGACACAAATCTGGAATTCTGGCAGGCGGATCAGATCGGCCATATGTGCTCAGATAAAATCATGTTGTTTCCTGGAAGCTCTCCTGAGCAGTGATTAGCTTCTGAGTCTGCTCATAATCCAGGTAGAACACAGAGGCACGTTTCAGCACGATTCAAAGACAAAGGAAAGAACGTTTTGAAAAACGCAACAGAGATACAAAAATAACCCCAAAGGTGTGAAGCGGTCTTAGTTGAGTGATGGTATCTGTGTCATGGTGAACACTTGTGTTGGTGATCTTCATCATCACTCTGATCTTCATCATCACACTGATCTTCATCATCACTCTGATCTTCATCATCACTCTGATCTTCATCATCACACTGATCTTCATCATCACACTCATCTTCATCATCACTCTGATCTTCATCATCACTCTGATCTTCATCATCACACTGATCTTCATCATCACTGATCTTCATCATCACACTCATCTTCATCATCACTCTGATCTTCATCATCACTCTGATCTTCATCATCACACTCATCTTCATCATCACTCTGATCTTCATCATCACACTGATCTTCATCATCACTGATCTTCATCATCACACTGATCTTCATCATCACTCTGATCTTCATCATCACTCTGATCTTCATCATCACACTGCTCTTCATCATCACTCTGATCTTCATCATCACTCTGATCTTCATCATCACTCTGATCTTCACCATCACACTGATCTTCACCATCACACTGATCTTCATCATCACTCTGATCTTCATCATCACTGATCTTCATCATCACACTCATCTTCATCATCACTCTGATCTTCATCATCACAACACAACCACAGGAGGGAGAACATTAAAAAATAAAACAGGAAACAGAAAAAACTTTCTAAATAAAACCAGAAGAGTAAATCAGGACGAGAACAGACCGGGAGCCTGACTCATGATGTCTGGAAGACAACAAATGATACAGATTTATATCTAACACTTTCTGCAATAAACATGTTTCATGTTGGTTTATGGTATCATCACAGTCTTTTTATATTTGTAGATGAAATCACTTTTCACTCTGATGAGCCAGATTATTAATGTTTCACTTCTCAGTTTAAAAAACATCATGAACATGCAAACACAGTTTATGAACGAGAAAGCAGAAGAGAAGTGACAGTCATAAAAACTGATCAGCCATGTGTGTGTGTGTGTGTGTGTGTGTGTGTGTGTGTGTGTGTGTGTGTGTGTGTGTGTGTGTGTGTCTGTGTGTCTGTGTGTGAGTGAGTGAATGTGTTTGTGAGTGAGTGAGTGAATGTGTTTGCGAGTGAGTGTGTGTGTGTGTGTGTGTGTGTGTGTGTGTGTGTGTGTGTGTGTGTGTGATGTTTATTTCTAACAATGCAAAAGGACATTAAAGACATGATGTTAGTTGAATTGGATGATGATATTATTGGCTGTTAATATAACAGTACAGTGCATGACGTCATACTTAAGGGCGTTAAAGAGGTTCTCGGTTCAGTCAGCTCTGTGTGCAGAGCGGAAGAGGTGAGGAAGTGTGTGAGGGGGGAGGGAAGAGAGAGAGAGAGAGAGAGAGAGAGAGAGAGAGAGAGAGAGTGTGTGTGTGTGTGTGTGTGTGTGTGTGTGAGCAAGAGAGAGAGGGAGGGAGAGATAGAGCGAGGTTCAGTTTGCGGACTGTCATCCTGAGAGCGGCTCGTGCTCCTCCACTGTCTTCTTCATCGTGTGTCTCTCGGATGTGTGCCGTCAGCTGATCCACCTTTAAAAAGCCCGTTCTCCCCTCCGCAGTTCGTCGTCCCGCGGACTCCTCACCATGATGGAGTACTGGAGGCAATGCGCGCTGTGGCTCATCAACTGCAAGGTGCTCCCGGCGAACCACCGCGTCACTTGGGAGTCCGCTCAGGTGTTCGACCTGGCTCAGACGCTCCGGGATGGGGTCCTCCTGTGTCACCTGCTCAACAACCTGAGACCCCAGTCCATCAACCTGAAGGAGATCAACCTCCGACCCCAGATGTCACAGGTAAGAAACCCCCTCTGTGTGCTCGCTCCAGAGCCAAGCTTGAACGGAGTGCCGCCAGACCTCATCAGAATTATACTTGTTTGAAGTTTCCTTGCTGCTTGGCAAAAATAGAAATCCTTCGGAAAAATAACTGTACCTTAATCGAAATGTCTTTAGTTATATACAAAATTCGGCATAATATAATCCAACATTTAGCCTTTAGTTTCAGGGAAAATTCTACTTTAAAAAGAAAATGTTGGCCAGCTCGTTACCGCCCCCACAGTACATTTAGAGAGCGAGAAACGGCGTAAAAAAGTAGTCAACACGTTATATCAGTTGGATTATTTTTCTTTACAGTTTATAATAGAGTTTAAAAACTGTGCCGAATATAAGGGACGATCTCTGTCACTGTGCGGAACTATTCAGTGTTGATATAGGATGAAGGTTTATTTGACAGTGAGCGATGACACATAAATCAGCGAAGAATCTGACGGGTTTTGGCGGCCATGTAAAAGTGAGCTGAAATGATGAAATGACAACTTTGATTATTTTTCTGAACACACACACACACACACACACACACACACACACACACACACACACACACACACACAGTCAGCCTGCTATTTGTAAGTCATGGTCAGGTGGCAAGGGGATAAAGGTGAAGGCTTTGTTATGGTGGGGAGTTACCTGTGGGTTTAACCACATGAAGAGATCATCATCAGAAAGATGGTTGTTTCGTTTGCCTGGAAAAAGAGATTTAATGTCTAGATTGGCAGTTTTGGTTTGGGTTTAGTTTTCGATAGGTGACATTATAAATATGTAGAGACCGCCTGAGCTGTGTGTCCACGTGGCTCCTGTGTGTGTGTCAGATACCATCTGCTTCAATAACAGGACAGCCGGAGCCTGGACCAGATTAATATTCTCCTTCAGAACAGAGAATCTGGACGTCTGGCTCGCTGACAGCACACAGTGAGGCCGACACACACCTACCGAGCTGCAGACCTACCAACACACACACACACACACACACACACACACACACACACACACACACACACACACACAGGCTGCAGTGTCTGACTCTGAAATAAACAGTCCTCTGATATAAAACAGGTGATTAAAGTCTGAAGAGGAGGACGATGAATGTGCTGCACAGCTGATGGAGACAGGTTATTATCATATTAGGCTCATTTCCTGGAAAAAATCTCTTCACTCCACTTTAAAGAGGGATGCTCAACTTGATCTGCACTTACCGTTCTCCACAATCCAATCACGTCTCTGCTGTCCAACCTGTGGGCGGATCATTTAAAAACGCTTATAGGATTGTAATGTCATCACTGGAGACTGATCCAGGATCTGTTTACTCGCTGATTTCAGTGAAACCAGATTGTGACTGAAAGAGGAGAAGCTGATTGGGCCATTTACTGTAAGAAGTCCTGAAATAAACTCAATGATGAGTTTTGGGTCAGTGGTGACATAAAGACGTGTGTGTAGAGGCCGTATGTTCAGAGGCTGGCCTGGTCCAGACCGGGTTAGTCTATTTATAGTCGGGTTTGTCTTATGCATGGCTGAGTGTCTTACTCACACCCGGCCTGCCATCGAGCTGCAGAAACACAAATCAGTCGTAGTAAAGCTTACAGTCAGAGCCATGAGAACCACAGCTCAGGTGCAACAGCCACATGTGTGTGTGTGAGCATGCATGCATAACTTTTAGTGCTAAAGACTTTTAGTGTTTCTGAACTACATTACCCAGAAACCCGCTCCATGCAGTCGATAATCCATACTTACACAATAGTGTCCTGATGAGCACAATAGTCCTTCTACATCTCGTCACATTCTGCAGAAAGAGAGCCAGCGTGCTTTCTGGCTCTTCTTACCCACAATCCTCTGCGGATTCTGTGCCACATCAACTGGCGAGCTCTCCAAACTGCTTCTTTGTGTCCATATTTAAATGATATTTAATGCAGTATGGGGGCCCTGACACAAAGTTCTTTAAAGTCGACATAATACCAGAATATTCAACTTTGACATGATTCAAATCAAACCATCATAGCCATATCTGTTTGTTACCACGGCAACAACAACGGAAGTCCTAGACGGCTTATATTTGGTTATTTAATGTTTTTCATTCACAAAAGTTGCAGGAAAACTCTGTCACACTGTCTACGTTTTACACAAACATTGACAACGTTGGGATTTGTGTGTAGCCCGGCAACATGAGCAAATATGTGCTCATGTCGTGTACTGCTTGTGTTCTTACTCTCCGATGAACGTCGCTTTGGATAAAAGCGTCTGAATAGAAGTATTGTGATTTAAATAAAAAGACATCATTCATAACACGGGGACAGTGTTGTAGTACTTACATCAGTCCTGGTCTCAAGACCTCTTTTTGAAGGTCTCGTCTCTGAATCTAAAGTATTTGTACTCTGTCTTGTCTCGGTCTCAGACTGGGTGGATTCCAGATTTTAAATCCAGACCGGTCAAGACCACCACTGATTGGCTGTTTGTCCACTTCATTTCTGTGATTAGAAGGAAAACTCCTCTTTCTAAAAAAACAAATAACTTTAATTCATTCGTAGTTTGATTTTTATCCACCGCAACCTTCCCGATGTTACGGTATAAGTGAGGGACACGCCCCCTGAGCACAATATATGAAGATTTCTCCGAGATATTTATGGTCCCGGTGGTCTTGAGGACAACACTACACAGTGTGAGATGTTTTAGATGGTGCTTGTGTCTTTGTCTTCTAAAGAGCAGTTTAATATGAATAAGACGTATAGATGAGACATTAAGTGCAGAGGGATGATGAAGCATGCTACGTACGAGGTGCAGATATTAAGAAAAAAGAGATTTGAAGACGTAAAGCAACGCGTACACGGAGCACCGTATTGAAAAGTAACCCATGCAGAGCGGGCTCAATAAAAACAGCTTCAGTTCAGTATCAGCGTTAAGTTAATCATTACAGCTGCTATACAGAGTGCAGTCTGTGGTGTAGTGATCACTTCCTGTTCAGAGGGACGTTAGTGACACCAACATGGCGGACAGTAAACACAGACACACACACACACACACACACACACACCACACACACACCACACACACACACACACACACACACACACACACACATCATATGTCATCATGATGAAGATGTGAAAATCACACATTTTATGAGACTTCTCTCGAAATGTGTTTAATTCTCCTCCAGGAACAGAAACTCAAAAGTGTGTCAGTAGATCATCAGTTCTGGCTTCCCCTTTCACACACACACACACACACACACACACACACACACACTCACACACACACACACACACACACACACACACTCACACACACACACATCGATGCTAGGTTTCAGAATGGATGTCAACACCCCCCCAGCGACTTTTGCTCCTCACAGTTACATTTACATAACTGGGGGGTGCGTCCGCCTCCCTTCCGCCTGCATAATGCATGAGCAGCGTGGCAGCTACTTTGTCATTGGTCGCTAATAGAACATGGGACACCTCGGTCACCCAGGGGACCCTCTGGGACGCAGAGACAAAGGCAGGGAGGGGGCGGGGCTACAAAGAGCCTGTCTGCCCTGCACAGACGCTCCTCTGAGGACATGAAGGGCCCTAAAGGGTTCAAACCCGCTGTGAGGCTGGCTGCACGCGCTAACCACTGATCCGTGTGGCGTCGGTTTCTATCAGCCACACACACTCTGCTAACGTCTGTCAAACTGAAGCATGTGGGATATCTTTACTGATGTCATGATGGTGAAGTCTGTGTGTACTCTGCATGAACCTTCGCTCTGACACGCCTTTAACAGTTTGAAATAAAAACACAGTCTTTGATGGTCGTTTTACGGGCTGTAATGTTACACAGTCGAGACGTGGCTCAGCCACACTCTGCTGCGTTCAGAGAAAACACACCACATAATCACAGCTCGTTTGTGACTCCCTTGCTGAAAATCAGCACTTTTCTAACATTAAGAGGAAACATGGTCAAACACGCAGCACGCTGTTTTTCCATTCTCTCTTTTTCCTCTAAATATTTAGGACCATGTGTCGCTCCAGTCCAGGACGGAAAATGAGGCTGCAGCTAACCTTCATTTTGATCCAATCATCTGCAGAATATTGTCAGGAATAATGACTTGGTCTAGAAATGTGACAAAGATAAAAAACCTCTTTTAGTCCAACCAAAAACTCTTATTTACTGTCAAAATGAACGAGCAGCAAGTTTTCACATTGAAGCCTCCAGAGCACGGGCCGAGCTGACCCCATCGACTGTATGAAGAACGGTTAGAGGAATAACCACAGACTGTAAATATTACTGGACGCAGCCTGAGTGACGTCACCCACCTGTCCCTGCAGGTGGCGCTGGAGTCCCATCAATGGCGGTCTCCATGCTGGAAATGCTGTCTCAGTCTAACTTTCAGTCAACCTAACGACAGGCTGAGAGCTGGAGCTGAGGCGGGTTTTAAACCTCCTGACAAACCGTTACACCGTGCCCACCTGTCAATCAGGTCAGCTACACGCCTTATTGTGAATAACTCTTATCCTTCATCAAATCAAAACTGATGAGTCATCAAAACATTCACCCCCCGTACAGTGTGTGTCGATCGAGACATGAGCTAATCACACCTATTTGGTTTTTTGAACCAGGCTGTAAACATGTTAATCTCTCCTGTAAAAACAGGCTTTTTAGAATGGCTGTGTATGTGACTTCCTGTGCTTCTGCAGCCAGCCTCTAGTGGACACTGGAGGAACTGCAGGAGCAGAAAACAAAAGTCATTGAATTTTCCATAACTGTGAGAGTCTGATTAAACCGACACAAGAATCTGTTCTGCTGTGGACTGAACCCACCTGAGCAACCTTTGACCTTTGAACAGGAAGGTAAATACTTTGGTTAGAGGAAGGGGCGGGATCATATGACCTCTACTGCACAGACTACATATCTACATATCTGCAACTTTACTGTCTTTGTCCACTTTACAATCACACCAGTATTGAAACCAGTGACCGTCTTGCGAT